AAAAAAAAAAAAAAAAAAAAAACAACTATGGTGGCATCTTTAGTAGCATTTCAACAAGGTAAAGGGGCAATTGTTTAAAATCCACAAAAGGCAGATGGGCCAAAAAGAGGAGATCATCGCTCAAAGGAGGATAATGGTTTGGTAGCCAGGTAGCTGAAATTATGGTGAAGTAAAAAGAGACATATATATATATGAATTATCATTGAAGTACAAAATTTATATGGAGACTCATGAAATACACTTTAAAATTTAGAAACACAAATGACTAAGGGCTCGCTTGTTTACAAAATAATTCGTACAAAATAGTTATTGTGATTAACCATAGTTAATTTTGAAAAATGTGGTAAGTTTAGTTGTTACTAAGATTTTAAGAATGTATTAAAATAATATTTAAAGTAAAATAATGAAAATTGATTTGATGTAAAAGTACAAAATAAATGATTAAAAATTATAAGTAGTTAAAATTATGTGAGTGTATGAATAGTAAAATAAAGTTGAATGTGAGTGAAATAATTTATAAACAAGCATGGCATAAGTAAGTAAAGAAAACAATTGATAAATGATACATGTATAATATGTCAAAATGTGTCTATTTATGTAAAAAAAAAAAAAAGTACAATAAAGAATAATTATACTAAAGACAGACAAAAAATAATTTGGCCAACCCAACCTATTGTTGCGGAGCAAACTATGGACCGAAACCAAATGCGAATATTTTGGTCAATTTTCCATTTATATTTTTTAATATTTCGGTTTTCGGTTTGGTTTGAATATTAGTGATCAGTTAACCGAACCGTACCGAACCAAAAACCAATTTATATATATACATATATATATAAGTTATAAAAACATTAATTTGCTTTAATGATTGATGACTTTCGAGCTTAAAATGACCTAAAATGGTTCAAGCATCAATTTTCACTCGAGATTTGTTCCGTCAAAGTCCAAGTCATGGTACGGGTAATTTATTGATAAGATTAAACATGGTAATAAAAAATTATTCTTTTTTTGTTCGGAAAAAAAAAATCAAATTTTTGGTTCAGTCAAAAATTAAGAATTTATTGAGAAGATCAATTATTTATTGCGACTAACCGATAATCGAACCAATCGTTGGACTTTTGGTTAAAAACCAAATCGAACCATAAATTTCAGTACGGATTTTTGTTTCTTAATTGATAAACTGAATTTTTGGTTAACAGAAAATTAGGTCGGTTCGGTTCGGTTTCGACCGAACGAGCAATCCTAGAGCATACTGACTGGTTTTCTAGCCTCAACCATTTACCGACAAGTATTTTTTACTGACATTTTTAAGGTTTTATCAAACCAACCAATTCGGTGTGATTCCCAAAAGGAAGATTATAGAACGTAAAAGGTATCATTAAGTGAATGAGAGGGGCATGGATGATGATCTAACAAATTGTTCATGTCATTCATGTCATTCACCATAATTAGTTTAAAGGCGAAGTGCAATTTATGGATGTAAATAGACCCTTACCGCATCTGAAACATCACAATGAAGCTTAGTAACAGAATCCCCACGTCCCAGCTCTTCCGGATAACCGTAGGCTATATATGTTTTAGGCCCCAGGTCTGGTTTCAGCATTTTTTTGGGTAACTGTGCAGCCAAATTTAAAGGTCCAGAGTGTAAGTGCGTGTATTCTTTGTAGGTTAAGGCATTAAGAAACTCTGCATTATGGCGTGGCAATCGCTCCTCGAATAAAGTGGATGGGGGCCAATCCTTCAGCTTTAGCATTTCAGGCCATGAAGTACTATGTCTACGACCTTCAGTGTACCCTTTGAAAAACTGATGAATGTTTACATCAACCTAGAAACACAGAACAAAATCTCAAAATCCACTGAAAAACAATCCAACACAAAAAAAAACCATCTTTGCATGTAAATTCTCAAGGACAATTGTAATAAATCCTGCCGAATTGCTCTTTTCAGAATTATTCAGAAACACAGACAAACAGACACACACACACACACAAAGCAAAATCAAAGTCAAGGCAAAATCAAAGTGGTGCTTCAAAAGCATTTACCTCACAGAAGTCAAGGCAATCTAATGCTGTTACCATCAAGTCAGAGGAACCTTTCTTAATTACAACCTTACGGACAGCACGCCACATCACCATTGGGTCCCAACTCAACCCAGATGTAAGTTTGAGAACATCACGCACAATAACTGGCTCCCCCATGATCCAGTGTCTCTGAAAATGCTCCAGTTCCCATGGTTTAATATCACTTGCCAATGGACAGAATAGGTGATTATCTTTAGAACTGACTCGATATGCACACTTCCTCAGTTGTGCATCGTCATTGGATTCCGAACACAGACACTGAGAGGAACTCCGGAGTACCTCAGCAGGTCCGCAAGCAGCAACTAAACTTTTGGCCTTCTCTTTCAACTCAAACAACCAGCTCTCGTCAAAAATACACTTGAGCTCCAGTTTGCCATTTCCACACCCACCCCTTTCCTTTGTCGGGCAAAGTATCTCACCTGATGTAGTTGCTTCCCACTTAGGGAGTGGCATCTGTTCAGGTATACTGTCTAACTCTCTATTTCGTGATGGCCTCACTGGTCTTTTTGATTCTTTGCAAAAAGAAAATCCATGTAAGTAGTCATTACTTGTTTTCTCATACTTAACGGTAACACTTTCACACCCCTTCAAACAGCCTTCTCGAATCTCCTTGCAGCAGGTCAGACAGAGATCATATGAACAACTTGGACAGCTTCGATGGAAATCAACTATAGAGGTTTTGCAATTGTTGCTGCACAAAGAGATATTGAACCATTCAAACAAGCAAAATATTGGACGAATTATAATTCAATATGAATCTCAAGCTTACCAATACATACGCTCTTCCGGAGAATAGTCAATTTTCTCTATCTTCACATCTGATGACCCTGCAAGAATAACATGTCAAGTGACAAGGTTAATAGCAGAAAAATATGAATATCCACTATAGGAGCCAAATCAAAAGGCTTCAGTATCAAAACGTCACTATAATTACATTTCCCAATCAAAAATGTGTTTGTCATGAGTAATTACATAATTGAAGAAATTTGTCAGATTAATATATCAACTTCAAAAAATTCGGCGGCCATGGTTCAGCCAAAAGCCATCTCACTAATAAATTACCCCCAAAAATTAGGTATAGCACTAGCACAGAATGTTCAATGCACGATACTTCTTCTCCAGACGACTCAGTTTGATAATTTCCAATTTTTCTACATTGATTTCACCTCTTTCATCTTTCAGAAGTAAAAGATATTCATATCTACCAAGCATGGTTATATGAACAGGTATATATTTGTCAATAAATCAAACCAACTGAAATGCAGCCCACCCAGCCTCAACAGTACTATATATATTCCCAGTTACACAATTGTATGTTCGCACAAAACATGTGTATCCTAGCAACTCATCCAGTTATCCAACAACAGAAATCCTATCTTCAAATCTAGCCATACAGTTCAACACATCCAAATGGCAATCACTATAGCAGATAAAAGGGTAAAATTACCACAAATCTTGGCTTCCACAGTCTTCTCCACCATCTGATCATAACAGAATTGTTCCACATAAGGCAAGAGAAAACTAATGAGATACTTCAGGAATCGTATTTTATCTCCTTTATCTGCTAGATCCTCAATCTTAAGAGCCTGCATTTACACTAAAAGCAAGTTAAAGCAAACCAATCAAAACATCCGTGCATGATAAGAAGATATTCAACTCAACCTCTGGTTTATTAGCTCCACGTAAACAAGCTTTACAGTTGCAACAATTACGACAAAATGGACAAGCTTCTGCTATGGCTTCCTTTGATAGTTCTGGATACCTATAATAAAAAACTCAAACAAGAAAAGTTAAGAAGTCACCAACAAAACCAGGCTTTGGGCATTTGATGTCTGCAGATTGCCACATGTTAACAGCAAATTAACTCCTTATGGGTGCTACAAACAAACAAATTGTTATTAAAAAGGGAAATCTTTATAAAAATATAGTCTGGTATTAGAGAAATGGGGGTGTTGTTTAGTAAATAGAATCTAACTTCTAATTATAGTTGAGTAAACATAGATAAAGTGTACCATGCTCGGATGCATTCAAAACAATATCGCTTTGGAGGTGCTTTAGTACGTGCATTAGGACATTTGCTGCACCGTACCACTTTCCTATCACTCTTCATACATTGATGACACATCTGGAATCTATCATTCGGATCCTGTTGATTACAGAGTAGAATTAGTTTCAGAGTCCAAAAAAAAGAAACAAAAGCAGGGCCGGTAAGACTGCTAGGTAAAGTACAAACATACATCACTTATATATTTGCTAACTCTGGTTGATTTCTGTGTTGGTAGAGGCTTTTTTTCTCTTTGACTTCTACGACGTGAGATATCCTTAGATTTTAGTTCAACTTTTTCATCTTCTCCCATATCTGCTATCTCTTCTTCCTTCATTCCCTTACCTTTGAGCATCTTCGAGTTTGAGCCAGCACCCATCTCGATTCTTGTAACTTCTTTATCCCTCAAACCAGTTTCTGAGTGACAAGCAGAGCCATTTTCTTCCTTCTTCGGTTTCTTCATGTCTTGCACTTCCTGACTCTCATCATTATTATCCTTTGTACCAGAGTTCACCGATCTACTCTCCTTCCTCTTCTTGGCTAATTTCAAACTTGAGACGTCCTTATCAAGTTTCACTTTTTCTTTTTTCATTTGTGTTTTCATCTCCGGGGATTTAAGATCCTTCATCTTCATGAAAACAGCATCCTTTTCACCCTGTTCGTCAGATTCCACGCCCTGATCGCTATCTTCACTATCGCCATGACACGCTTGATAAAATTCCCGAACCTTAATGCTCGCGGCCCTGACCCTCCGCCCCAACGCCGGCCTTTCCTCGTCTCCCACATCCTCCCCTGCCTCACCACGATCTACACCGACCGGAACCTCGCTTCCATTGCCCTCCACCTTGCCCCTCGACTTTTTCTCCGGGATAACCTCTTCCTCGGAGGATGAACCGCCGTTTCTCCTCCTGTTCGAACTCACACCGCCCGCCCTGGAGGATCTTTTTTCCCCAACCCTAGCAGCATCGGCGGGCTTCCCATGGATGTGCTTCTCGCAGTAGCCCTCGTCGTCAATCTTACGCGACCGGCACCGCCACTCGTCGCCGCGTTTCATACGGCAGCGCTCGTCGTCCGGCGGCGGTGGGTCATCTCGTCCGGTGGTCATGACACGCGTGCTCCTCGCTGGCAGTGCCCGCTGATTTTGCGGATAACAATTTTTT